CGTGGTGGTGGACGTGGCAATTCCAAGCGATGGTAACATCCGGAAAAAAGAACATGAAAAGCTTGAGAAATACCAAGGTCTCAGAGAGGAGCTGGAGAGGGCCTGGAGGGTAAAGGTGACAGTAGTGCCCGTGGTGATCGGTGCACTCGGGGCAGTGACCCCGAAGCTAGATGAGTGGTTACAGCGGATCCCCGGAACAACCTCGGACATCTCGGTCCAGAAATGTGCAGTGCTAGGAACAGCAAAGATACTGCGCAGAACCCTCAAGCTCCCTGGCCTCTGGTAGAGGACCCGAGCTTAGAGAGGGATAACCGCCCGCGGAGGGCCAAAGGTGAGTGGACAATTTTTATATATATATATATATATATAGAGGTGTCGTATAGATATATATATAGCTGGTAGAGGACCCGAGCTTAGAGAGGGATAACCGCCCGCGGAGGGCCAAAGGTGAGTGGACAATTATATATATATAAAAATTGTCCACTCACCTTTGGCCCTCCGCGGGCGGTTATCCCTCTCTAAGCTCGGGTCCTCTACCAGAGGCCTGGGAGCTTGAGGGTTCTGTGCAGTATCTTTGCTGTTCCTAGCACTGCACATTTCTGGACCGAGATGTCCGAGGTTGTTCCGGGGATCCGCTGTAACCACTCATCTAGCTTCGGGGTCACTGCCCCGAGTGCACCGATCACCACGGGCACTACTGTCACCTTTACCCTCCAGGCCCTCTCCAGCTCCTCTCTGAGACCTTGGTATTTCTCAAGCTTTTCATGTTCTTTTTTCTGGATGTTACCCTCGCTTGGAATTGCCACGGCCACCACCACGGCTGTCCTCTGCCCTTTGTCTACCACCACGATGTCAGGTTGGTTTGCCATTACCATTCGGTCGGTCTGTATCTGGAAGTCCCACAGGATCTTTGCACGCTCATTCTCCACCACCTTTGGAGGAGTTTCCCACTTAGACCTTGGGGTTTCCAGCCCATACTCTGCACAGATGTTTCTGTACACTATGCCAGCCACTTGGTTATGGCGTTCCATGTAGGCCTTCCCTGCCAGCATCTTGCACCCTGCAGTTATGTGTTGGATCGTCTCAGGTGCCTCTTTGCACAGCCGACACCTTGGGTCTTGTCTGGTGTGGTATATCTGGGCCTCTATCGCTCTGGTGCTCAGTGCCTGTTCCTGTGCAGCCATGATGAGTGCCTCTGTGCTGTCCTGTAGGCCAGCCCTTTCTAGCCATTGGTAGGACTTCTTGAGATCAGCCACTTCTGTTATGCTCCGGTGGTACATGCCGTGTAGGGGCTTGTTCTCCCATGATGGGCTCTCCTCCAGCACCTCCTCATCTCGCCACTGCCTGAGACATTCACTGAGTACGTCATCCGTTTTGGCCTTCTCCATGATGTAGTTATGGAGTTTGGATGTTTCGTCCTGGACAGTGGCTCTCACACTCACTAGTCCTCGGCCTCCTTCTTTACGGCTTACGTACAGTCTCAGGGTGCTGGATTTGGGATGGAACCCGCCATGCATGGTAAGGAGCTTTCGAGTTTTAACATCCGTGGTCTGAATCTCTTCCTTTGGCCACCTGATTATTCCTGCAGGGTATCTGATCACTGGCAGGGCGTAGCTGTTAATTGCCCGGGCCTTGTTCTTGCCATTGAGCCGGCTTCTTAGGACCTGCCTTACTCGCTGGAGGTATTTGGCAGTTGCCGCTTTCCTCGTCACCTGTTCGAGGTTGCCATTTGCCTGTGGTATACCGAGATACTTGTAACTGTCCTCAACGTCTGCTATTGTTCCCTCTGGGAGTGAGATCCCTTCTGTGTGGACTACCTTGCCTCTCCGAGTCACCATCCTGCTACATTTCTCGAGCCCGAATGACATCCCGATGTCATGGCTGTAGATCCTGGTTGTTTGGATCAGAGAGTCGATGTCTCTCTCGCTCTTGGCGTACAGCTTGATGTCATCCATGTAGAGGAGGTGACTGATCTTTGCTCCGTTCCTGAGGCGGTATCCATAGCCAGTCTGGTCAATTACTTGGCTTAGAGGGTTGAGGCCTATGCAGAACAGTAGTGGGGACAGAGCATCTCCTTGGTAGATACCACATTTGATGGTCACTTGTGCGAGCGGCTTGCCATTTGCCTCAAGGCGGCACGGTGGCTGAGTGGATAGCACTCTCGCCTCTCAGCAAGAAGGTCCTGGGTTCGAATCCCGGTCGGACCAGGGCCTTTCTGAGTGGAGTTTGCATGTTCTCCCCGTGTCTGCGTAGGTTTCCTCCGGGTACTCCGGTTTCCCCTACCACTAAAAATATGCCCAATAGTTCTGGCATGTGCCTCCTGTACTGGCCCCGCTCCCATCTCTGTGTGGAGTGAGCGACAAATGCCCAAAATTAACAATTGTAAACCGCTTTGAGACTCAGATCTGCAGTGAAAAGGCGGTATATAAATAAAAACTTACTTACTAACTTACTTACTTACTCAAGGGTGGTCTTCCACATTCCCATCGAGTTTGCAACGAAGTCCCTTAGAGCCCTGTTGATATTGTACAACTTCAAGCATTCCATGATCCATGTGTGTGGCATTGAGTTGTAGGCTTTCTGGTAATCAATCCAGGCTGTGCACAGGTTGGTGTGTCGTGACCGACAGTCTTGGGCGACTGTTCTGTCAACCAGGAGCTGGTGTTTGGCTCCTCTGGTGTCCCTACCAATGCCCTTCTGTGCTGTGCTCATGAATTGTTCCATATGCCCACTTATCTTAGCCGCAATGATGCCTGACATGAGCTTCCATGTTGTGGAGAGACAGGTTATTGGCCGGTAGTTGGAGGGGACTGCACCCTTGACAGGGTCCTTCATGATCAGGACCGTTCGCCCTTCGGTTAGCCATTCTGGGTGAGTCCCATCTCTCAGCAGCTGGTTCATTTGTGCTGCTAGGCGCTCATGGAGTGATATCATATCAGGGCCAGGTGCTGTCCAGTTTTTCATACCTGAAACTCTTTCTCGGATGTCTGCCTCTGTGATGGTAACTGAGTTCTGTTCTGGGAGGTGGCTGTGCTCCTCTCTCAGGGACACCAGCCATTGTGCACTTCTGTTATGTGCTGCATCCTTCTCCCATATGTTCCTCCAGAACTGTTCAGTTTCCAGCCTCGGTGGATCTGCTCCCCTGTTGTTACCCTGCCACTGAGCGTACACCTTCGCAGGTTGTGTTGCGAACAGCCTGTTCATCCTTCTGGCTTCATTCTCTTTAGTGTACCTCTGTAGGCGGATGGCCAGGGCTTGGAGCCTTTGTTTGTTCATATATATATATATATATATACATATATACATATACATATATACATACATATATATATATACATATATATATATATACATATATATATATATATATATATATATATATATATATATATATATACATACATATATATATATATATACATACATATATATATATATATGTATATATGTATGTATATATATATATATATATATATGTATATACACATATATATATATATATATATATATACACATATATATATATATATATATATATATATATATATACACATATATATATATATATATATATACACACATATATATATGTGGACATTTGTAGGCCTACAGTGGACATATGTACGCCTACAGTGGACATATGTACGCCTACAGTGGACATATGTACGCCTACAGTGGACACACGTACGCCTACAGTGGACACACGTACGCCTACAGTGGACATATGTAGGCCTACAGTGGACATATTTACGCCTACAGTGGACATACGTACGCCTACAGTGGACATACGTACGCCTACAGTGGACATATTTACGCCTACAGTGGACACACGTACGCCTACAGTGGACACACGTACGCCTACAGTGGACATATGTAGGCCTACAGTGGACATATTTACGCCTACAGTGGACATACGTACGCCTACAGTGGACATACGTACGCCTACAGTGGACATATGTACGCCTACAGTGGACATATGTACGCCTACAGTGGACACACGTACGCCTACAGTGGACACACGTACGCCTACAGTGGACATATGTAGGCCTACAGTGGACATATTTACGCCTACAGTGGACATACGTACGCCTACAGTGGACATACGTACGCCTACAGTGGACATATTTACGCCTACAGTGGACATACGTACGCCTACAGTGGACATATTTACGCCTACAGTGGACATATTTACGCCTACAGTGGACATACGTACGCCTACAGTGGACATACGTACGCCTACAGTGGACATATGTACGCCTACAGTGGACATATTTACGCCTACAGTGGACATACGTACGCCTACAGTGGACATACGTACGCCTACAGTGGACATACGTACGCCTACAGTGGACATACGTACGCCTACAGTGGACATACGTACGCCTACAGTGGACATACGTACGCCTACAGTGGACATACGTACGCCTACAGTGGACATACGTACGCCTACAGTGGACATACGTACGCCTACAGTGGACATACGTACGCCTACAGTGGACATACGTACGCCTACAGTGGACATATGTACGCCTATAGTGGACATATGTACGCCTACAGTGGACATATGTACGCCTACAGTGGACATATGTACGCCTACAGTGGACATATGTACGCCTACAGTGGACATATGTACGCCTACAGTGGACATATGTACGCCTACAGTGGACATATGTACGCCTACAGTGGACATATGTACGCCTACAGTGGACATATGTACGCCTACAGTGGACATATGTACGCCTACAGTGGAAATTCCCTGTTAGGGTTAAGTATGACGTCATAGTAGTACAATTACATCATGTTATTGCAGGACTGAGACAGAAGGGACGGAGCTACATGTTTGTGCCAGAAGTTCCAGATTGCGTAGATGGACAACCACAGATCTGTTTTCACGTCATGGTTAAAGGTAATTTTTCATAATATGTGAAAGAGTCTAAATGAAACAGCATCTGGCACTGCATGTTATAGAAACAAACTTTATGAATGAAAACAAGACTCACTGTAAGCGCAGCCGTACACCTCCACCCTGAAGCCCATCCAGCCGCTGGGGTTGCAGGTGAAAGGAACGAAGCGTAGAAATCGAGTTTTTATGGAGTGGCTGAGCTTGTTCACCACCACGGCCTCGGAGTTCACGTTCCCGGCAAACCTCTGCACACACAAGGACACACAGTAATGACACTATCGGACTAATGTGAGCTAATGCAACGTGGCCAAGGCTGCTCCAGAACCACCTATCACTGGATATATCTACATAATTCACATTCATATCTCCTCCTGAGAGCGAAGAACTGCGTTATTCGGACGAATGCTTGAAATATAAGAGGCAGACAACGCTAAATCCTCGAAAAGCACATAAGACGCCATAATGTGCTGACAATGCAAACCCAAGGGCACTATCCTTTCCCTATTCCGTAGCACACTATTGCTTTAACGTGATAAGAATCGCTCTGTGCGGTAGAAATATGAGCAGGAAGCAGGCGAAGCGGGAAATATACAAAGTGGACAAATACAGCGTTGCTCCTGAAGAACAACAACACAGAGATTTGTGAGATAATGTCTGAAACAACATCTTATTTTCCATAATTGCTCAGAAAGTGGAGGTACGTTCTCTTTAAGTGCAGACTATGGCTCATTCTTTCCTAATGTTGTCCTGATGATGGATGTTTTAGATATTACAACTGTGTTACATAAAAATGCTTCAGTCTGTGGAGAAAATGTGAAAAATGTTTTTGTTGTAATTTACATAAAGGTCAAAAATAGAATCAATAAATACATTAGAATCACATAAGTACTAACACATTTTCTGTATTAATATGCCCTAAATCTATCCCAGGATCAAGTTCCATTATCAACATTGACATAAAATGTATTAGGTCTTTGAGATAAGGATTTTTGTTTAACTATCTGTGAACACCTGCAGGTTTGAAATAAATGAATAAATGAAGGAGACAGTCAAAGAAACCTGTGGACTTAATATTAGCCTTATATTAGTATATATACAGTGCCTTGCCCCATTGAACCTTTCAACATTTCGCCACATTTCAGGCTTCAAACATAAAGATATAAAAATTAAATTTTTTGTCAAGAATCAACAACAAGTGGGACACAATCGTGAAGTGGAACGAAATCTATTTGATAATTTAAACTTTTTTAACAAATAAAAAACTGAAAAGTGGGGCGTGCAATATTATTCGGCCCCTTGCGCTAATACTTTGTAGCGCCACCTTTTGCTGCAATTACAGCTGCAAGTCGCTCGGGGTATGTCTCTATCAGTTTTGCACATCGAGAGACTGGAATTCTTGCCCATTCTTCCTTGCAAAACAGCTGGAGCTCAGTGAGGTTGGATGGAGAGCGTTTGTGAACAGCAGTCTTCAGCTCTTTCCACAGATTCTCGATTGGATTCAGGTCTGGACTTTGACTTGGCCATTCTAACACCTGGATACGTCTATTTGTGAACCATTCCATTGTAGATTTGGCTTTATGTTTTGGATCATTGTCCTGTTGGAAGATAAATCTCCGTCCCAGTCTCAGGTCTTTTGCAGACTCCAACAGGTTTCTTTTGCAGACTCCAACAGTTAAATAAAAAGGCAATTTTTTTTAAACATTATGACAAACCTGGTCCAACTGATGGATTCTCTGATCTGTTGGCGAAACAACTGCTCTTGTGATTCAGGGCGAACCAAAAATACATTGAATGGAATAGAATGGAATGGAATGGAATGGATCTACAGCAGCTGAGAAAGTGCCCAACTCTCTTCTGTGCCATTACCGCAGATTAACACTTCATTATTGATTCCAGGCGGGTGTTTGAAGACAGTGAAGCTTCAAACCTCCACTAGACTAAGAAAACAAAAGGAAGACACAAGGCCAATAACTTCAGCTCCCTCAGCCACGCAAACGATGCAGCGGGGAGAGGCGGAACAAAGGCTGTCCAATGTATTTGTAACAAGGCAACGGGGGCGCCATTAAAAAACACCAGTACGCTGCTTCTCGTGGATAATCAAGGCTACAGCGCCAATGTTAAGGCTGTAATTGTGATTTATGCCACCACTTTCCAATCTTCAGCGTTTTAACAGGCGTCGAGTGGATAAATCTAATAACAAGTATGAGCAGGTAAATGTTTTATTCACCAGCAGCACAGAGGTATGGCCAACTCTACTGGGAGGGTCCATACATGAGGCTGAGACTAGACCCAGAGACCCCCCCTTTACGTACGCACAGAAAACAACACACACATTGCCTCTTATGGAAAATTAAGCTCACAGCGACGGGATCTTTACGCACCACAGAACCTGGAAGTTTACTCAGTTTCTCTCCGTTCTTTTCATTTTCTTTTTAGACAGAACAAAATCAGGATATAATTTATATAGTCAACATTTACGCCACACACTCATGGAAAACATCTGTCATCTAGAGACATCGAAACAACACAACACGGACACACAATAGTAGCAGATACACAATCAGGTTGTTGTGACCTACACAAGGCCAGATCCCTGTACAGCCGTCTAACTCACACACGAAACATAAATACACAATTAAGGTTGTTTACTGTTACACTTATTACAATCTGCAGCTTATGGCACTTCACTTTTATATAAAAAAACACATTACAATCTGCAGTTAGAGCTGAGATTTATATTGATGACAAAGTGTGAAATAAACGTGCCACAGTTTCTTTATTTTTTATTCAACATTTAATCAATATATATTTTTGAAAGAATTGCCTCTGCTAAAAATGGGTTTTAAAACATGAGCGACTCCATCTTTTCAGAGGCCGATGTGGGGCTGCTTCATGCTGGAGATCTGGACAAATCTGGGTTTTGGTCCCGCTCCCCCCACTTTGGGAACCACTAATGCATTTAATCGAAACATGAATAATCACCCACCTCTACACCTTCTCCACCGACTCCCACTGATGACTGCTGTCGTTGTGTCCTTGGGCAAGACACTTAACCCCACTTTGCCCAAAGCCCCCACTGAAAGATCAAGGCTATGCTCACAGTCAGAGAGCAGCCGTCCTCCTGTGGACTCACCACCTGCAGAGGGTCAGTGAGGGGCTGGTGCTATGAGACTTGGGTGGCATCTCTGACTGCCACCCCCCTGACCCAGAAATGGATTAAAGGGTAGAAAATGGATGGATGGATAATCACCTTCCTTTACCGTCAGTGACTCCTTTTTGCGACCATCTCATTGTGAGTTAATTGTGAGTTCATAATTGCTGTGTGCATAATACTGTTTTGGTGGAATTTAAAAAGGCAAAAAGACACTAATATTTGTTATTAGCTTTAATAATGTAACGAGATGAAACATGCAAAACGATAAATGATCCCGATATTCCAATTAGCAAAACAAAACCATTATTTTGGGAATAATGAGCCCACAGTTTCAGATCGTCTCCAGTTGCTGCGAGCTCCGCTTCAGGAAATCAATGATCCATCTCCACAACCCACGGATGTTCATCGCTAATACGTCGTGTGTGTTTTTAGTGCTCTTGGTTTGGAGCAGTAGGATCACAGCCGGGACGGTAACGTGAATTTAACCGGCTGTTTTTACCATGATGTAAGCCACAGTCAGAGTTCACAGATCTGTTACGGCAAATTACAATCAGCAGAAAGTCACAGAAGAGAGAAAAGAAGAAATGAGTGATTAACTGCAGTCTGCCAGTTCGAAAGATGCTGTGAAATCCTAAAACCAAACTGTCTCCTGATGTAAAAACTTTGGTCCAAAAGTGATTCCATAAATGTATTAGCATTAGCATGTATTAGCATTAGCATGTATTAGCATCACATAAGGGGTAAAGTAAACCCAAATATTTTGCCTTAAATTCATCCCAGTGTTAGTCCGCTCCGTAAATCCATTATTCATGTTTAAATAAAATGTATTTGGTCTTTGAGATAAGAAGACATTAAATGAAATTGTGGACTTTATAGAAACATAAATAGTCTCAATGTTGAAGAGTTGAGCTGATTGGAAAGCTGTTTAAGTTAAGTCTCTGAGATCAGATCTGTCAAACAGCTCTCTTCTGCTCTGTCTTTGCAAAGTTACCAAGTAATTAAATAATGCCAGAATTATGTCTTTTTGTTTGTGTGATTTTGTCCAGGTTTGACTGTAGTTAAATATCAGCATTAAAATAAATAATAGTAAAAACCACTGAGCTCAAACACGTGTAAATGTATATGTAAAAGTTTCTGTATGTATCAAATGGTATATACTTTTATTTTATTTTATATATAATAAATCTGATGTCTGAAGTTAAAGTCCTGGTTCTGAGACTTTGGGAAGGTGTCATTGAGAAACCTGAGCCTGTGACGACAGCGATGAATGTGAAGTGTGCGTCTGAAGCAAATGAAGCAAGTACTGCACTGTTCCACATTGTTGTTGTTCCTTGGACCGAACCCAAAGTCTGTCTGGAACATTATCCCATTTGCCATTTCACGGATTATTAACGCGTGCCAGAGCCGATGGTACTTCCATCTTGAACTTTGGAAGAAAAAGTCTCCTCCCATCACCACGGAAGCTGCCTCACAGACATTAACTGTGAATAGTATGACGTTTTTCTTGTTTATTTCCTTGTTTTGAAAAGAAAACACCAGTGGAACATCTTGTGTGTTCCAGCCGAGCTCTAGAGAAAGACCTGAGGGTGCTGAGGGTTTTCCATGATGTAGCCAGCGGGCCGGGTCTGGGTCCCTTAACCACGCACGCAGCCAAACCCCATCGTGACTTCATTATGTGCATTTGTCTGGTCTCGGTCTCGTCGCGGTCTCGTCGCAGCCTGCTTCCCCTCCTCATTCATTAGGGCTCTTTACTCTTCCTCTGCCGTGATGAGCTCCCTTGTGTCACTTTTCCTTTCGGTTGCATACATCGCCGGGCCGTAGAGGTTTATTCTAATCCATCCACTGGAGAATAAATCCAGCTCGCGGCCACACAGAAGAGTCACTTTGTTCCAGAAGGTCAATGTAACAGCCTAAAGGTACAAATAATGAAGCAATGGCTGAGAGAGCGGCGCTGTGAAGAGCGGCCCAAAGGCTGGGGGCTCGGCCGTGACCACCAACCTCTCAAACGAGCCAAAAGAAAGGCCGGGTTTGTCTATTGCTTGGTTCATGTCCAGTATTACATGAGAAGGCTTTTATTCTATTGTTGCATGACCTCTTACGACAGTAACGAGCAGTAAATCAGATTCAGGGTGATAAGCATTTTTGCAAACTTCCAAAATTGTTCTTTGCAATTCAATGCATGCCACTCAGGTTTTATATCGTATGCCTCATTTACTCTCAATACAACACAGTTGGAATGTATTGTCTCACACACTGCCGCCACACTGACTGTGCTGTGGTTTGGTGAATACATAACCAACACTCTTTACAGTGTAGGTATAGGCCCCCTACACCCCCAGTGTAGGGGGTCGAAAGTATTCGACCCCCTTGAACCTTTCAACATTTTGCCACATTTCAGGCTTCAAACATATAGATATAAAAATTCTTGACAAAAAATTTAATTAACAACAAGTGGGACACAATCGTGAAGTGGAACGAAATGTATTGGATAATTTAAACTTTTTCAACAAATAAAAAACTGAAAAGTGGGGCGTGCAATATTATTCGGCCCCCTTGCGCTAATACTTTGTAGCGCCACCTTTTGCTGCAATTACAGCTGCAAGTCGCTTGGGGTATGTCTCTATCAGTTTTGCACATCAAGAGACTAGAATTCTTGCCCATTCTTCCTTGCAAAACAGCTGGAGCTCAGTGAGGTTGGATGGAGAGCGTTTGTGAACAGCAGTCTTCAGCTCTTTCCACAGATTCTCGATTGGATTCAGGTCTGGACTTTGACTTGGCCATTCTAACACCTGGATACGTCTATTTGTGAACCCATTCCATTGTAGATTTGGCTTTATGTTTTGGATCATTGTCCTGTTGGAAGATAAATCTCCGTCCCAGTCTCAGGTCTTTTGCAGACTCCAACAGGTTTTCTTCCAGAATGGTCCTGTATTTGGCTCCATCCATCTTCCCATCAATTTTAGCCATCTTCCCTGTCCCTGCTGAAGAAAAGCAGGCCCAAAGCATGATGCTGCCACCACCATGTTTGACAGTGGGGATGGTGTGTTCAGGGTGATGAGCTGTGTTGCTTTTACGCCAAACATATCGTTTTGCATTGTGGCCAAAAAGTTCGATTTTGGTTCATCTGACCAGAGCACCTTCTTCCACATGTTTGGTGTGTCTCCCAGGTGGCTTGTGGCAAACTTTAAACAAGACTTTTTATGGATATCTTTGAGAAATGGCTTTCTTCTTGCCACTCTTCCATAAAGGCCAGATTTGTGCAGTGCACGACTGATTGTTTGTATGGACAGACTCTCCCACCTCAGCTGTAGTTATCTGCAGTTCATCCAGAGGGGTGGGTTTATGTGTGGGGGGGGGGGGGGTGGGGGGGGTTGGGTGGTTGGTTTTGGTGTTGGGGGGGGGGGTTTTGGTGGTGTGGGTGATGGGTGGGGGTGGGTTGGGGGGGGGGGTTTTGGGGTGGGGGGGGGGGGTTGTTGTGGGTTGTTGTTGTGGTGTTGTGGGTGTGGGGTGTGTGTGTGTTGGTGTTGGTGGGGGGGGGGGGGGTTGGGGGGTGTGGTGGGGGGTGGGGGGGGGGGTTGTGGTTGTGGGGAGGGTGTTGGTTGGTTTGTTGGTTTAGGTTGTGGGTGGGGGGTGGGGGGGTTGGGGGGGTGGGGGGGGGGGGGGTGGGGGGTGGTTTTGTTTTTGTTTGTGGGGGGGGGTGGTGGGGGTGTGGGGTGGTGTGGGGGTTGTTTGTTTGTTGTTGTTTGGGTTTGTGTTGTTGTGTTGTGGTGGGGGTGGGTAGGTTGTTTGGGGGGGGGGGTTTTGGGGGGGTTGTTTGTTTGTGGGGGTTTGGTGTGGTTGGGTGGGGTGGGGGGGTGTGGGGGTGTGGGGGGTGGGTGTGGGGTGGTGGGTTGTGGTTTTTTTGGATGGGTTTGGGTTGGGTTGGGTTGGGTGTGGGTGTGTGTTTGGTGGGGGGGGTGGGGTGTTGGGTGGTTGGGGGGGGGGGGGGGGTGGGGGGGTTGGTGGGGGGGGTTTGGGGGGGTGGGGGTGTGGGGGGTGGTTGGGTTGGTGTTGGGTTGGGTTTTGGTGTGGGGGTTTTTTGTTGGGTGTTTGTGGTGGTGGTGTTTTTTGGTTGGGTTGGGTGGTGGTTGGGGTGGGTTGTTTTTTGGTGTGGGTGTGGGTGGTTGGGTTGGTGGGTTGGGGGGGGGGTGGGGTGTGTGTGGTGGTTTTTGGTTGTTGTTGTGTGGGGGGTTGTGGTTGGGTTGTGGGGGTTGTTGGGGTGTTGGGGGGTTGGTGGGGGGTGGTGGGGTGGTTTGTGTTGGGTTGTGGGTTGGGGGGGTGGGGGGGGGGGGGGGGGGGGGGGGGGGGGGGGGGTTTTGGGGTTGTGGGGGGGGGGGGGGTGGGTGTGGGGGTTGGGGTTTGTTTGGGTGTTGGGGGGTTGGTGTGTGTTGTTTTTTTGGGTGGTTTTGTTTTTTGGTTGTGGTTTTGGTGGGGTGGGGGTTATGGGGGGTTTTTGTGGTGGGTGGTTTTGGGGGGGGTGGGGGGGGGGGGGGGGTGTAGTTATGGGTTGGGGGTGGGTTGTGGTTGGGGGGGGGGGGGGTGTGTGGGGGTGGGTGGTGTGGTTGGGTGTTGGGTGGTGGGGTGGGTTTTGGGTTTGTTGTTGTTGTTGGTTGTTATGTGGGGGTTGTGTGGGGGTTGGGTGGGTTGGGGGGTGGGGTGGTTGTGGTGGGGTGTTTGTGGGTGGGTGGGTGGTGGGGGGGGGGGTTGGGGTGTGGGGGGGGGGTGGGGGGTGGGTGTTGGGGGGGGGGGGGGGTGGTAGGGTGGTGTTTTGGTGGGTTTTGGTGTGTTGGTTTTGGTGGGAGGTTTGGTGGTGGGTAATAATGGTAGTTTTGGGGTTGGGGGGTTGGGGTTGGGGGGGGGGGGGGGGTTGGGGGGGAGGGGGGGAGGGGTGGGTGGGGGGTGTTGATGGGTTGTTGGTAGGTTTATGTGTGGGGTTGTGTTTGTTGTTGGTTTGGTTGGTGGTTGGTTTTTGGTTTTTTGTGTGGTTTTGGTGTGGTAGTTGTTATTTTTGTTTTGTTGGTGGTTTAGTGAGGGTTAGGGGAAAAATATGGGGGGGGGATGTTTTAGAGGGGGGGTTTAAAGGGAGAATGGGAAAGGGGGAAGAGTTTATAGGGGGGGGGTGGGAGGGATATGGGGGGGGGTGGTAATATAGATAATAATTGATAGAGATGAAATTTGGTATTTTGTGGTGTTTGTTGAGGGTGGGTGTGTAGGAAGGGTGTATGTAATTGGATGATTTAAGATATGGGGGGATTGTGGGAGATGGAGTGAATATGGGGGAATTTTTAGGTAAATTATGATTTGAAATATGATGATGGATAGAGGTATGGAGTATGGGGGGGGTTTGGGGGGTGGTGGTGTTAGGTGTTAAATGTGGGTTTTAGGGTATTTGTATTGTTATTTTTAGGTGAGGGTGTATTTGTTGTGGTTGGTAGGTGGGGGGGGGGGGGGGGGGGTGGTTGGGGGGTTTTGTGTTTTGTGGTGGTGGTGGGTTAGGGGGGGGTGTAGTGTGTATGTTGGTTGGGGGGTTTGGTGGGGTTTTTGGTGTGTGTTGGGGGGTGGGGGGTTGGGGGTTGGGGGATTTTTGGTTTGTGGGGTTTGGGGGGTTTGGGGGTTGGGTGTTGGGGTTTGGGGGGTTGGGGGGGGGTTGGGGGGGTTGGTTGTGGGGGGGGGTTTGGGGGGGGTTTGGGGTTTGGGGGTGTGGGTGGGGGGTTGTTGGTTGTGGGGGTTGGGGGGTTGGGGGGTGTGTGGGTTGGGGGGGGGGTGGGGGGGTTGGGGGTTTGGGGGGTTGGGGTTTGGGGGGGGGGTTGGGTGTGTTGTGGTGTGTGTTGGGTTTGGGGGTTGTGTGTGGTGGATTTTTGTGGTTGGTGTGTGGGGGGTTGTGTGGTTTTTTGGGTTGGTTGTGTGTGGGTTGTTGGGTTGTGGGGGTTTGTTTTGGGTGTTGTGTTTTGGGTGTGGGTGTGGGTTGGTGGGGGGGGGGGGGGTTGTGGGGTGTGTGGTGTTGGGTGGGTTGGGGGGGGGGGGGTGTGGGGTTGGGGGGGTGTGGTTGTTGTTGGGTGGGGGGGGTGGGTGTTGGGTTGGTGTGTTGTGTGTGGGGTTTTGGGGGGGGGGGGGGGGGGGGGGGGGGGGGGGGGGGGGGGGGGGGGGGGGGGGGGGGGGGGGGGGGGGGGGGGGGGGGGGTGGTGGGTTTTGGTGTGGGGTTTGGTGGGTGGTGTTTGTGGTGGGGGGTTGGTGGTGGGTTTGGTGTGGGGTTTGGTGGTGGGGTTTGGTGGTGGGGGTTGGTGGTGGGTTGGTGGTGGGGTTTGGTGGTGGGGGTTTGGTGGTGGGTTTGGTGGTGGTTTGGTGGGTGGGGGTTGTTGTGGGGTTTGGTGGGTGGGTTTGTGGTGGGTTTGTGGTGGGTTTGGTGGTGGGGTTTGTGGTGGGGGGTTTGGTGGTGTGTGGTGGGTGGGGTTTGGTGTGGGGGGGGGGTGGGGGGTGGGGGGGGGGGGGGGGGTGGTGGGGGGTGGTGGGGTGGGGGTGGGGGGGTGGGGTGTTTTGGGGGTGTTGGGGTGGGGGGTGGGGGGGGTGTGGGGGTGTGGGGGGTAGGGGTGTGTGTGGGGGGGGGTGGTGGGGTGGGGGGTGGGGGGGGGTGTGGGGGGGGGTTGTTGTGTGGGGGTTGTGTTGTGGTGTGGGGGTTTTTTTTGGGGGTTTTGGGGGGGGGTTGGGTGGGGTGGGGGTGGTGGGTTTTGTGGGTTGGGGGGGTTGTTTGGGTGTTGGTTGTGGGGTGGGGTGGGTGGTTGGTTGGGGGGGTTGGTGGGGGGGGTTGTGGGGGGGGGGTGTTGGGGTGGTGTGGGTTGGGGGGTGTGGGGGTGGGGGTTGTGGTTTTGGGGGGGGTGTTGGGGTGGGGGGGGGTTTGGGGGGGTTGGGGTGGTGTTTGTTGGGGGGGGTGGGTGGGGTGGGGGGGGTGGGTGGGGGGGGGGGGGGGGTTGTTTTGGGGGTGGGGGTTGGGGGGGGGTGGGGTTGGGGGGTTGGTGGGGGGGGGGGGGGGGGGTGGGGTGGTGGGGGGGGGTGGGGGGGTGGGGGGGTTGTGGGTTGGGGTGGTTGTGGTGGGGTGGTGGGTGGTGGGTGTGGGGTGGGGGGTTTGGGGGTGTGTGTGGTTGGGTTTGGGTGTGGTTGGGTGTGGTGGGTTTGTGTTTGGGGGTGGGGTGGGTGGGGGTTGGTGTTGGGTTGGGGTGGTTTTGGGGGTTGGGGTGGTGTGGTTTGGTGGTGTTGTGTGGTGTTGTTTGGGGGTGGGTGGGGGGGGGTGGTTGGTGGGGGTTTTTTGGGTTGGTTTTGGGGTGGTTGGTGGGTTGTGGGGGGGGGGGGGGGGGGGGGGGTGGGGTGGTGGTGGGGGTGTGGTGGGGGGGGGGGGGGGGGGTGGGGGGTGGGGGGTGGGGGGGGGTGGGGGGTTGGGGGGGTTTTTGGGGGGGTGGTGTGGGTTGTGGTTGGGGGGGGTGGGGGTGGGGGGTTGGGGGTTGGGGGTTGGGGGGGGGGGGGGGTGTTGGGGTGGGTGTTGGGTGTTGTGTGGGGGGGTTTGGGTGGGGGGGTGGTGGGGGTTGGGGTGGGGGTGTGTTGTGGTTTTTTTTGTGGTGGGGGGTGGGGGGTTGGGGGGGGTGGGGGGGGGTTTGGGTGGGGGGTGGTGTGGGTGTGTGGGTGGGGGGGTGGGGGTGTGGTTGTGTGGGTGGTATTTGTTTTTTGTTTGTGGTGGTGTGTGTTTTGGTGGGGTGGGGGTGGTGGTTTTGGTGTTTGGGGGGGTGTGTGGGGGGGTTTGGGTGGGGGTGGTTTGGGGGGGGGGGGGGGTGGGTGGGTGGGGTGGGGGTGTTGGGGTGGGTGGGGTGGGGTTGGGGGGGGGGGGGGGGGGTGGTGTTTGTGTTGGTGTTTGTGGGGGGGTGTTTGGGTGGGTGGGTGGGGGTTGGTGGGGGGGGGGTGTGGGGTGGGTGGTGGTTGTGTGTTGGGGGTTGGGGGGTTTTGTGGGGGTTGGGTGGTGTTGTTTTTTGTGTGGGGTGTTGGGTGTTGGGGGTGTTTGGTGGTGGTGTGGTGGTTGGTGTGGGGGGGGGGGGGGGGTTTTGTGGGGGGGGGGGTGGTGGGGTTTGTGGGGGGTGGGGGGGGTGGTGTGGTGTGGGGGGGGGGGTGGGTGTGGGGGGGTGGTGTGTGTGGTTGTGGTGGTGGGGGGGGGGGGGGGTGGGGGTGTGTTTTGGTGGGGGTGTGTGGGTGTGGTTGTGGGGTGGGTGGGGGGTGGTGTTGGGTGGTTGGGTTTTTGGTTTGTTGGGTGGGTGGTGTGGGTGGGGGTGGGTGGGGTGTTTGGGTGGTGTGTGGGGGTGTTGGGTGGGTGTGGGGGTGTTGGGGTGGTGGGTGGTGTTGTGGTGGGGGTGTTGGGGGGGGTTGGGGGGGGTGGGTGTGGGGGGGTTGGGGGGTGGGGGGGGGTTGTGGTTTTTGGGGTGGTGTTGGGTGGGGGGGTTGGTGGGGGGTTGGGGTGGTGGGTTGTGGTGGGGTGGGGGGGGGGTTGTGTGTGTGTTTGGTGTGTTGGTTTTTGTTGTGTGGGGGGGGTGGGTGGTTGGGGGGTGTTGTGGTGTGGGTTGGGTGGTGGTTTGGGGGGGGGGGGGGGGGGTTTGTGGGGGGGGGTGGGTGGGGTGTTGGTTTGGGTGGGGGGGGTGTGTGGTTTGGGGGGGGTGGGGTGGGGGGGGTTGGGGTTTGGGGGGTGGTGTTGTGGTGGGGTTGTTGTTGGGGTTGGGTGGTGGGTTGTGTTGGGGGTTGTTTGGGTGGTGGGTGGTGGGGGGGGTGGTGGGGGGTTTGTGGTGGGTGGGGGGGTGTGGTGGTGGGGGGGTGGTGGGGGTGGTGGGTTTGTGGGTGGTGGTGGGGGGTGTGTGTGTGGGGGTTGGTGGGGGGTGTTTTTTGGGTGGGGGGGGGGGGGGGGGGGGGGGGGGGGGGGTTGGTGGGGGTGGTTGTGGTGTGGGGGGGTTTTGGGTGGGGGGGGTGTGGGGGGGGGGGGGGGGGGGGTGGGGGGGGGGTTGGGGGGGTGGGGGTGGTTGGGTTGGGGTTGGTGGGTGGGGGTTGGGGGTGTGGGTGTGTTGGGTGGTGTGTGGTGTTGTTTTTTGTTTGGTGGGGGGGGGGGGGGGGGGGGGGGGGGGGTGGGGGGGGGGGGGTTGTGTTGGGGGGGTGGGTGTGTGTGTTTTTGGGGGAGGTGGGGGGGGGGGTATGTGTTGTGGGGGGGGGGGGGGGGGGGGGGGGGGGGGGGGGGGTGGGGTTTTTGGGGGGTGGTTGGTGGTTTGTGGGGGGGGTGGGGGGGTGGGGGTTGTGTGTTGGGGTGGGGGGTTGTGGGGGTGGGGGGTTGGGGGGGGGTTGGGTGTTTTGGGGTGGGGGGGGGGTGTGGGGGGGGGGGGGGGTTGGGGTGTGGTTGGGGGGGGTGTGTGGGTTGTTTGGTGTTGTTGTGGGTGTGGGGGTTGGTGTTGGGGTTGTGGTGGTTTGGTTGGGGTTTGTATGTTTGGGGGGGGGTTTTTTGTGGGGTTGGGTGGTGGTTTGTATGGTTGGTTGTGTTATGTTGGTGGGGGTGGGTGGTGTGTGTTGTTGTGGGGTGGGAGGTTGGGTGTGTGTGGGGTGTGTGGGGGTGTGGGTGTGGGGGGGGTTTTGTTGTTGGGGTTGGTGGGGGTGGGTGGTGTGGGGGGGGGTTGGTGGGGGTGTTGGTGGGTTGTTTTTATGGGTTTGGGTGGGATGTTGGGTGTGTGTGTTTGTGTTGGGGTGGTTTTTTTTTTAGGGTTGTGTTTGGGTGGTTGTGGGGTTGTGGTGTTTGTTGGGGGGGTGGGTGTGGGGGTTGGGTGGAGGGGGGGGTTTGGTGGGGGGTGTGTTGGGGGTGGTGGGGGGGTGGGTATTTGGGTGGTTGTGGTTGTTTTTGGGGTTTTGTGGGGGGGGGGGGTGGGTTGGGTGGTGTTTTTGTTGTGGGGTGTGGTTGTGGGGTGGTTTTGTTGTTGATGGTGTATTGGATTGGTTGGGGTTTATAGTTGTTGGTGTGTTTTATGTAGGGGTGTTTAGTTGTTGGGGTGTGTTGATGATGGAAGGGGGTTATTTTTAGAGGGTTGGTGTTTGTTTGGTATGGGGAGGTGTAGATGTATGGGGTGTGGTGTGTTGTTGGTGG